CTCGCTTGAGCCCAGGAGTTGGAGGTTGCTGTGAGCTGTAATGCCACGGCACTCTGCCCAGGGGGACAGCTTGAGGCACTGTCTCAAAAAAAAAAAAAAAATAAATAAATAAAAAAAATAGTTGGGCATCATGGCAAGCATCTGTAATCCCAGCTACCTGGGAGGCTGAGGCAAGAGAATCGCTTGAACCTAAGAATTTGAGATTGCTATGAGCTGTGATGCCATGGCACTCTACAAAGTGAAACTTCATCTCAAAAAAAAAAGAAAAATTCATCTTTCATATATACCTTATACATATATCCTGAAGGTAATTTGTATAGTATTTTAAATAATTTCATGTATGTAAAAAAGCTTTGACTGCTGTGGAATTTTCTACTCATGGTATCATGTCAGGGCTCAAAAAGTTATGAATTTTAGAGTATTTTGGATTTTCAGATTAGGGATGCTCAACCTGTGATAGGTGATTGAAAAAAAAAAGAATGTGTGATGCTATGAGCCTTTGAGAGGCCTAGATGCCTGCGTGGGGAAGTGGGGGAGGGAATTAGGGTGGGGAGTGGGGAAATGGATATACCATACACATGAACAGCAGCCAATGGTCACAGGTGGGGCCCAGAGCCACCCATCAGGCAGTCATGGGACAGGGGTCCACAGCTGGAGGGACACAGTTGAGCTTAAGAGATAGGTGGGCATCTTCCTAAAGCCCTGGCAGCTTCCTAACAGCAAGTAGCAGCTTACTCACCATGGGTGCGGTGAAGGGCAGGAACGCTGGCAGAGAAGGGAAGAGACCTCAGTGCCTGCAGCTGCCAGGGCAGGAGGCTGGGAGGGTGCTACCCACCTGCAAACCTCTTCTCCAGCCTCCTGAAGGCACAGACCTCAGAGGACATATATTATTCATTCCTTTTTTTGGTAAAAAAAACATTAACTATGTGCATAAAATTACTGTAACTATGACAAGAAAAATCAAAATAGCACAGTATACAGAAAGGCCTCCCACTGCCATCCCAGTCTCCCTCCTGAAGGCGGGCACAGATTCTCCCATAAACATGGCCTTTAATTGTCCAAACAAGAACAGCATATACTGTTTTATGCTTTGTAATTTTTACCTGAAAACTACTTTCTGAAGATCTTTCCATATGCACACAGAGGACTTAACTCATTTTTTTGTTTTTTTCATTTTGGGGTCTGTGTTCCATCCACCATCCTCACTCTTTTTAAGAAGTAGTTTAGTTAACTAGAGTCTCAATTGTTGAATATTCATGTTGTTTCCAGTGTCTTGTTTGTATCAAATACAGAATTGTAGTTGGAAAGATCTTGGACTTTGTTCCCCTCATCTTAGATGTGATAAAAATGAGAGAGACGGCTCGGCGCCTATAGCTCAACCGGCTAAGGCGCCAGCCACGTACACCTAAGGTGGCGGGTTCGAATCCCCAGCCCGGACCCGCCAAAACAACAATGATGGCTGCAACCAAAAAATAGCCGGGCGTTGTGGCGGGCGCCTGTGGTCCCAGCTACTTGGGAGGCGGAGGCAGGAGACTCGCTTGAGCCCAGGAGTTGGAGGTTGCTGTGAGCTGTAATGCCACGGCACTCTACCCTGGGGGACAGCTTGAGGCTCTGTTTCAAAAAAAAAAAAAAAATGAGAGAGACTACTAAATGGTATCCTTTTTTTTTTGAGACAGAGCCTCAAGCTATCGCCCTGGGTAGAGTACTGTGGCATCACAGCTCACAGCAACCTCTAACCCCTGGGTTCACGCAATTCTCCTGCCTCCGCCTCCCAAGTAGCTGGGACTACAGGTGCCAGCCACAGTGCCTGGCTATTTTTTGGTTGCAACTGTCATTTTTGTTTGGCGGGCCCAAGCTGGATTCGAACCCGCCAGCTCAGGTGTATGTGGCTCATGCCTTAGCCATAGGTGCTTGAGCCATAGGTGCCAAGCCTAAATGTTTCCTTCATATTAGTTTTAGCACACGTTCTAGAAACATGAAATAACTGTTATATTCTCTGGGACATGATGCAGCAAGGTGGATCCACCTGCAGGCTTGTCCCTCTATTCCCAAAGTCCATATCTTTCCATAGGACTGGACACAGCTCTGGGCCCTGACGCTGCTCATCTCCACTGAAAAACCTAGGCCCCATGAGCATTCTTTTTAAGGTGTGGTGTCCAACTCACCATCAGGAATCTTGCTAGGGGGAAAAATATTAAAATAAGGCAGATAGGGCAGCACCAGTGGCTCAGGGAGTAGGGCGCCGGCCCCACATACCGAAGGTGGAGGTTCAAACCCAGCCCCAGCCAAACTGCAACAAAAACATACCCGGGCATTGCGGCAGGTGCCTATAGTCCCAGCTACTCAGGAAGCTGAGGCAAAAGAATCACCTAAGCCCAAGAGCTGGAGGTTGCTGTGAGCTGTGACGCCATAGCACTCTGCCAATGGCAATAAAATAACACTATGTCTCTAAATAAATAAATAACATAAAATAAAATAAGGCAGACAGGGCAGTGCCTATGGCTCAAGGAGTAGGGTGCCAGCCTCATATACCAGAGGTGGCAGGTTCAAACCTGGCCCTGGCCAAAAAACTGCAAAAAAAAAAAAAAAAACAAGGCAGATAGATTTCTCAGTGTTACAAACCACCTCTACCCAAGCCACTTCTTTTTTTTTTTGAAACAGAGTCTCACTGTTGCCCTCAGTAGAGTGGCGTGGCATCATAGAGCACAGCAACCTCAAACTCTTGGGCTTAAATGATTCTCTTGCCTCAGCCTCCCAAGTAGCTGGGACTACAGGCATAACGCCCAGCTATTTTTTGTGGCAGTTGTCACTGCTATTTAGCAGGCCGGGTCTGGGTTTGAACACACCAGCCCTGGTGTATGTGGCTAGTGCCCTAACCACTGCTATGAACACCAAGCCCCAACCCACTTCTGAAAATTAGAACCAACTCACCTGCAGGTCGAAAGAGAGTGGGGATCAGCTGGCTGCTGTCAGGATGCACTGTTGACTTAGAGGGGAAGTACAAAGGTTAGCTGGATGTTTGGTTTTATTATTTCAGGAGGCTAAAAATTAGGAACGGGTTGAAACTTACGAGACTCTTCTTCCACGCTTCTTGTATCTAAAATGAGAAAAGATAAGCAATATCTTTTCATGGTGGCTTAGCAGCAAAGAATCTCATCACAGTCTCATTTCTGGGGTCATCTTTGCCCCAAGAGTAAAGGCCAGAGGTGTTTTCTAAAACATGGATGAAACAAATCAAAACAAGAGAATCAAATGTATAAACAATGGTCCTGTGTCTAACCTTGGAGAGGACCACACCTAACTTATCCCTCAGATGAGCTCCTTGCCCCTACTCAGAGCAAGCTGTAAGCTGATGATATGACACTACACCACTAGCCAAGTGGCTTACAACAGAGCCAAGCTGTCAGCCCAGAGTCCCCAACATGTTCTTAGAAAAACCAAATTAAATGGCTCGGCAACTGTGGCTCAAGTGGCTAAGGCGCCAGCCACATACACCTAAGGTGGTGGGTTCAAATCCAGCCCGGGCCCACCAAACAACAATGATGGCTGCAACCAAAAAATAGCCAGGTGTTGTGGCGGGCGCCTGTGGTCCCAGCTACTTGGGAGGCGGAGGCAGGAGACTCACTTGAGCCCAGGAGTTGGAGGTTGCTGTGAGCTGTGATGCCACTGCACTCTACCCAGGATGACAGCTTGAGGCTCTTTGTCTCAAAAAAAAAAAAACCAAAATTAAATATTTGAGTTTCCCACAGGTTGCCTTATGGGACTGATGTTTGTGAGCCCTGTATACGAAAAGGTATATAAAGAATCCTCGGTTTGGCCAGGCATGGTGGTTCATGCCTGTAATCCTAGCACTCTGGGAGGTCAAGGTGGGTGGATTGCTTGAGCTCATGAGTTTAAGACCAGCCTCAGCAAAACAGCGAGACCCCGTCTCTACTAAAAATAGAAAAACTGAGGCAAGAGGATACTTGAGCCCAAGTTAGAGGTTGTTGTGAGCTATGATACCATAGCATTCTTCCGAGGGTGACAGCTTGAGACTCTGTCTCAAAAGAATCCTTGGTTTGAGCCTTTGGGCCGGAACTCTGACCTATAACAGAAAATAGATTCTGATTTCAGAAAACCCTGACTGAATTCTGTAGTTTGTCAAGGGCCTCCAGGAGAATTCCTACTAGTATTCATTGCATAGGAGGAACCCTGCTCTGTCTGGTTTATCTTGTGGAATTCTAACTACATTTTAAAAAACGAGGGCGGCATCTGTGGCTCAAGGAGTAGGGCACTGGCCCCATATACTGGGGGTGGGGGTTCAAGCCCGGCCCCAGAAAAACCTGCAAAAAATAAGTAAATAAAATAAAAAATGAACCCAGTTTTGAAAAGCTGGTCCCCTGGGCAGTGTATAACAATGACAAAATCAGCCACCAAAATTCCACCTGATTTCAAACCATGCAGGTAGAAACCAGCCACACCTGTGCACACAAGACATACCCTTTGGTCCTCCAAGGCCTGTGTAGATGCATCTTCATTTGTGAACAATAGTTGCCTTGCCTTTTCTATTTGTTCCTATAATCAGAAACCAAGAAGCCATCTCAACATTGTTCAGCTTTATCCACAGACTTAGATATCACAAGCTCACCCCCAGCACATAGTGTATTTCACCTGCACACCTGATTTCAATGGCAGAAGTAGCCATAGAGACTATATTTCCCCCACAGGTTCTATGAGGACAGTCCCGTGTGGCCTTTCAGATCTAGGCCTCCCACTTGCTAGATGGCCCCAGCAGCTTCCCCCACGGGTGCTGCCACACTCCCCTTTAATTTATCCCCTTACAATCTAACACAGTCATTCCACAAGAATAAAAACAAAATCAGATATAGATTCTGTTATTTCAACTGCTTATAAAGGGGGCACATGGTTTTCAAGTTTGGAATCATGAAATTCATTATCTCTAAAACAAGAAAATACTTACAACTGAAATGAACAGATTCAGAGGATCTAATAAATCTGTCCACTGAAGAAATCGTCGAAAAAAAGACTGAAGATGGAGAAAAGTACCAGAGAGAAGGTTAACAACAGTAGAAAACTAAAGCTATATGGTAATAATGACAGTTGACATTCTGGAGGAGAAACTTAATACTGGAACTCTATCCTGTGATCTGCCTTTAACCAGCTTCATCTCCTGGAGTCCTCACGACCTCCCCATTTTACAGGTGAAGCAGCTGAGGCTTAGAAGGGTTGGTGGATGTGATGAGCTCAAGGTAACACAGCCAAGAAATGACTCAGCAGTCTGTGTTTTAACCCTTCAACATCAGATTGCTCTTGAAGGTTAAGAGCCCAGATTTTGGGGTTCAAAGCAGCCTATGTTCATATTCTATGTATGACCTCAAAGGGTTTCTGAATCTGTCCCTCACTCTGAGGATCATGGTGAGGCTTAATTCCAATAATGTAGAACGGACACCCCAGTAAGGCTTGATAAACACAGCGGGGCTCACAGGTGGTCAGAAAGGAGACATGGTTTGCTCCAACAAGACCCAAACTTCGCAGTAGTTCTGGCTTTAAATCCTTATTCTGCTGTTGGCAACCTGATCTCCCTGTCTCTTCTCAAACTTTCCCACCAAAAAAAAAAAAAAAAAACCGGGCTAGGTCTTGAAAGGGAATACCACCACCACCACCCCCCCAGACCTGCTGTCCAATCCCCCACCAAGACTGTGGAGCCCAGAACTGTGGCTAAGTTGAACCCAGATGTGCTGCAGGAAAAACACATCCACCGGATTTCAAGGACTGCGCCAAAAAAGGATGTAAAATAGTTCATTAATGTTTTTATTGATTATGTTGATATGTGAACATTTTACATCTGTTGGGCAAAATGTACTCTATTAAAATTAATTTCAGCTTTTCTTCTTACTTTTTTAATGTGGCCACTAGAAAATTTTAAATGGGACAGCGCCTGTGGCTCAAAGGAGTAGGGCGCTGGGCCCATATACCGGAGGTGGCGAGTTCAAACCCAGCCCCAGCCAAAACTTAAAAAAACAAAAAAGAAAATTTTAAATGACGGAGATGACTCACATCACATTTCTATTGGACAACTCTGCTCTAGACACAGGGAGGTGAGGCCTGCGTTACTCCCCGCGTTAGGGTAGCTTCCCAACGCCTTTTAGGTCAGGCAAGACCTGTTTTTCTCCAATTTGCTGCCCAGCCACAGCTTAAGACACTGCGAGGGCTAGACTCCTCCGATAGGGAGATCTGCCGGGGACCTTGTGGCCACCGCCATCGAAAGCTTGGATTGCCCCTTTGTCCCCTTCCGCGGCCTGAGCTGGGAAGCAAGACGGGTGGTGCGCGCTCCAAGCCTGAGTCTGGGACGAGGAAACCAGGCGCTGGGCGACCACGTGGCCTGCCAAGGTCACCGCGCCAGCCCCACTGCGCGCAGCGCGGCCGGGCCCACGTCCTCCCCGCCCCCAGCCGCGCCGGGCCCGGGCCGTACTTGGCGTTCGGCGATCCAGAAGCGAACGTTGGGCTCCATGCGGGCGGCCGCGCCCCAGCACCCAGGGAGCCGCTGGGACCCAGCGCTTCCTCTTTCCTGGGAGGTCGGCTGTGGTTGGAGGGGCACCGCAGCCGCAGCTCGGCGGGGCGCGGAGGAGGATCCGGGCGGAGGGCCCCGCCCCCGGCCGCGCGCACTCGCGCCGCCTGCCCGGAGTCCCCGCGCGCACCCGCGCCGCCTGCCCGGAGTCCCGGCGCGCACCCGCGCCGCCTGCCCGGAGTCCCCGCACGCACCCGCCGTTCTGGCGAGCGAAATCTTCCTGTCCTGCTCAGCCTTCCTCCGGCATCACAGCACCCCCTGCGAAGACGCCGGGGGCACCCCACGACCTCACCTCGTGGGCATTACCCTCAAAAATCCCTTCAGTTACCCGTAGAGTCCAGGGTACACGGTGTTGGTCAGCAACATTAGGGCCGGCTACATAACTTTTACAGCTTGGTGAAAATTGAAAATGCAGCACCGTTTATTCAAAAATTGAGAATTTCAAAAAGGCGACAACAGCATTAAACCAAGCCTGGGGCCCCGGGCACAGTGCACTATGCCACAGCCTGACACTTTTTTTCTGAGTGGTGGGGCAAATCCAGTTTTCTTTTGTTGAATACCAGAACATGTACGTAATCTTTGAAGCAAAAAACATGGGCTCCTTTCCTCCCAACCCCTTCCCTCAGCACAGGGGCTGTGCATACTGTCCTTGAATTCCTGGAAGCCCAAGGATGTGTTTTTCTGGTGCCCAGGGGTCCTGCAGAGGTCTGGGCTGGGAGGCCCAGCACACCACTTAGTTGTGTGACCCTGGTCGAGTCAATACCTCCATGCCTACTTCTCATCTGTTAAGATGAGGAGATGAATTGTGCCTATCCCAGGGTTTTGTTTGGAGCCAACCCTGTACGTGCAACACAGCTGCTGGCCTAGTGTAAGTGCCAGCATCCACCATTAATACCCAGATGGCCAATGTCCCCCCTGCCTTGGCCCTCCATCCAAGTAACCAGTGGAAGTGTCAGCATCAAGCCATTAATATCCAGCTGGCCAATGCCCTCCCTGCCTTGGCCTCCATCCAGTAACAGGGCCTGCCTAAATGACATGGCTCACCTTTCTATAAACCAGTGGTTCTCAACCATTCTAATGCTGCAATATACTTTCATTGTTAAAAGAGGTCGCACTCCCACAGGTTGAGAACCGCTGCACTTTGAGTTCCTCTCCTCTTCTAGGAAGCCTTTGCTGATTTCCAGAGCTGAGTAGGACACCCTCTCCTGTGTTCACATTATGCCCCAGAAATCCATCTATGGCACCACAGTATTGAGTGAAATGTATTATTCTGTTGATTCTATACTCAAGCATGTCACAAAATCCCCAGCTGGCTTTGCTTCCCCACTTTGGACCCCTACAGTCCAGTTTTAACAAAGGAGCTGGAGTGACCTTAGAACATGATGTCACTATTCTTTTCACAACCTTCCTGATGGTTCATATCCCAGAACAGAGCCCAAAGTCCTTAGCTTGCCTACAAGGTGTTCGGGACCCCCTACCACCATCGCCTCCTTCACCACTGGCAACAGGACCGGGCATCTACTCCAGGCTCACTTTAGCCTCAGGGCATTTGCATTCGAGATACCTTGTCTAACTCCCTCACTTTCTAGGAGTTTTCTTTCATTTGATCCTCATTGGATTGCCCTCATTTTACAGTGAGAAAACAGACTCAGAGGGACTTTTTCCTAATGCTCTCCTGGACAGCCCTATATCTAAAACAACTATTAACTCTCTGCTCTAGCCTCTAACTCTACTTTCCTCCTATATATTTTAATTATATTGTGTTTCCCTTCTAGAATATACTTTTTTTTTTTTTTTTTTTT